TTTGGAGACCCTGAATGGAGTCCTGCATGTGGCTCCAGTAGGGGACTCCATAGTCCTACTGGGAGACTTCAATGCGCACGTAGGCGACGATGGAGATAACTGAGAGGCGTGATTGGGAGAAATGGCCTCCCTGATCTGAACCCGAGCGGGTGTTTGTTACTGACTTCTGTGCCAGTCATGATTGTCCATAACAAACACATGTTCAAACATAAGGATGTTCATAAGTGTACCAGAGGACCCTAGGCCAAAGATCAATGACCGAATTTGTAATCGTATCGTCTGATCTGAGGCCGCACGTTCTGGACACTCGAGTAAAGAGAGGGGCAGAGCTGTCAACTGATCACCATCTGGTTGTGAGCAGGGTCAGAGGAAGGGGGAAGACTCGGGACAGACCCGTTAAACCCAAGCGTATAGTGAGGGTGAACTGGGAATGTCTGGAGGAGGCCCCGGTCGAAAAGATTTTCAACTCACACCTCCAGCGGAGCTTCTCTCACATTCCTGTGGAGGTAGGGGACATTGAACCAGAGTGGTGTATGTTCAAAACCTCCATTGCTGAAGCCGCGGCCTCAAGGTCTTAGGTGCATCAAGGGACGGTAACCCTCGAACCCCGTGGTGGACATCGGTGGTCAGGGAAGCCGTCCGACTGAAGAAGGAGGCCTTCCGGGTTATGATATCCGGTGGGACTCCGGAGGCAGTTGCAGTGTACCGACAGGCTCGAAGGGCAGCAGCCTCTTTCCGTCATGGAGGCAAAGCAGCGAGTATGGGAGGAGCCCCGGGTAACTATGGAGAACTATGGAGACTTTCGGTCGGCACCAAAGTGCTTCTGGAAGACCATCCGGCACCTCAGGAGGGGGAAACGGGGAACCATCCAAGCTAAAAGAAAAACGCCTGGTGACCGCGTAGATTAGAAAACAAGTCAGTTCTCAATGTGAAAAAAAAACATGCTGAGTGTTCCTTTTACTTATGTTGTATGTGTAATTGACAGGCTGCTTAACTGGTTAACTCTTAAATTCAACATATTTTTTCAGGCAGTGAGAGACAGGCAAGGATGCAGAGAGCACAGGGAGAGGAGAAACACCAGGTCGAATAGAGAGAGGAGAAGCACAGAGGAGCCATGAACCCCAGAACGCGTGTTCTGGGGTTCATGGCTCCTCTGTGCAAGGCAGGACCTGACGTGGAGGACATGGAGGCCCTCTGGGCACTACTGTAAAAAGGAGATAGTTCTTAATCTGCAATTGTGTTGTTGTGTTGTGTTGAAATACTTTTCTTTACTGTTTTCTTAAATTAATAAACTACTAACACATGTATTCATTGTCATTGATTGTATATGACTTTTACTGATAACATAATGCAATATAGCCAGGACAGCCTTACAGAGTCGCGACGCTTTGTGTTGCGTTGCTTCGCATCGCGTCGATGTCTGTATGATCACAAAATTCAGAGTTTACCCACCTCTAATTTTACCACTACAGCACTGAGAAGGAGTATATTTGTAGAGTATAAATATTTCCTTTTCACCAGAAGAGCAGTCAAAGATGTTCTGAACACACGTACATCAGTCATTGGAATTATTGAGAAAACAGCTTTAATAGGATTTCAAGGCCTGTCATATTAGCTTTTAGATCATACAAATATAGACTTTTACTTTTGAGAAATCTGTACAGTAAAACTATTTTCTTTTCTGTACAAGAGTAGTCAGATATGTCCTGTTCACACATTACTTCAGTCACAGTCTGAAATTTCCACTGAAAATAAAACACTTCCTCTTGGCTTGGGTCACATAGTTCACATTCTTGTGTGGGTCAGTTTGTGTGCGTGGGATAGAATTGTGCAGAAAGAGGAAGTATTGCATTTCCCTTTAACGAACTGTCACTTTGGTGTGATTGCGGGAGGGCCGGAGGCTGAGGTCAGTTTCCCCGTTTTTCCCGAAACATGACAATTCCACCTTTTACCGGATGAACTTTTTAACAGGCAGATGTTTACTCAACCGAACTTTTGCTACTCAGTTTGATTTCAAAGTCCAATCTGTCACTTTTTGTACAGATATTATAAACCCAAATAATAGATTCCTCCTCGTTGCATTTTACTTCTTCATTCCTTACTTAAACTGATTTACCCAGTTTCCTTCTATCTTTGTTATCTTCTCCATAATCGACTCAACAACTATTTAGTTCTTCATATTGGAATTACAAATACCAGGGCCCTCAGTGGTACAAAAACAGTGTTCTTCGTGCTTTGTTTATCCATCTTGTTAAAAGGTATCTGATTCCCCTCCCCAAAAAAATGTCATGTCATGTTTGTTAATTCATTATTTCGGAGCGGTTTCCAAAATGTTGCCTCTCTCTTTGGACTTGACCTCTGTTCATTTAATTAACGTGAGAATAGAATTTAGGAAGTAGACAGCACCTCAGAAGTGGGAATTAAGTAATGCAAGATTCATTCAAAATGACTTAAACAAAATTAGTTATGCCTGAGAATGTATGGTGAGGAGTCTCAGAGTAAAGCAGACTGACAGCCTGTTTGTGTCCATTAAAACCTTGTTGCTTGATCAGACAGCACATAACAGAGATGTAACTGCTACATATTCCCTCAACTACAAGCAGGAAGTCTTTGGGTTATAAGCTGACTGCGGAAAAGAGCTCTGGCATTTTCTCTTTAGCTAAATGTTTTTTTCTAAAATGGCCGGTTGTTGATTTGCCTACAACTAAAGGCAGGAGGTCGAACAAGAGGTAACTACAGCTTTCTACAGCTAAACCACCAGCAGAGCGAGTATCGGAGCCGTTGTACCTAGTGACATAACGCTGTGTTCTAGTTGTAATATGTTGTATAGTCTTTAAATTAAATATTTACCTTGTTGTTGGTACATGTGAGGAGGTCGCAGTCTCCCCTGGAGGCGTGGGTTCGAATCCCACTTCTGACAATTTATTTTTCTTCATTTTGGTTGAAACAGCCGGTTATATTTCGTGCGCGCACTAGAACCAAAAACGTAGCTTTGCACATGGTCATAGGGACTAGTCACGACCGACCTTTGAGAGCCGTTTCCCCCCCACAAGTACGTTTTGTTCAATTTCAATTCGTTTTTAGAAAAAAAAATACACAATATATTAGCTAAATCATTCGTATTACTGATCTATTATATGTTCATCAGCCAGGAGAGTAAAACATAAAAACATGATTGGCGGAAGCGGCGGAGTCAGAAACGTGAATCGTCTCTCGTAGAAAGAGAGCCGGTATTCTGACCCGGTGAGCTACGCACAATAAAGCCTCATGTTAGTGTTTCGCTTGGTCTCACCATTGATGTTGTTGACCCTTTTGTGCTTTGTAGATGGGCAAACGCCACCAAAAAATAATAAAAGATTTCGGAAGATTATACGTTATGTCAGCCAGGAGAGCACAGGTCGTAGTTACTAATTACGCCACAGTGACAACCTGCCACCTCATGGATCCACCATGTGGAGCAGAGTGGAGATCAGCATTAGGGCTTCGAGGGTGGGTGTTTGGATTCCATTGCTCAGAAATCCATTACAGATGATTTATGTCTAGTACAGCTCCATAAAACCTGGACCAATTATATACACATTTCAGAATAAACAAATGCATTGCATGTACTTCTCATTAGGTTGTTTTGTTAATTAGGGCATTATCTTGAAATGCATTCAGGAAACTCAGAAATCCAGTGCAGGTTGAGGAGCAGCAGCTTCCTCAATGTTTACATTCGTTTAAATAATTTGGTCTACAGCTGCTCGACCAACATGGCTTCAGGTGAGGTCCGACTCACGCATTCTGTTAAGAATCACCACACATTAGCAATGAAACTGAAGGGTGTTTGGAGAAGTTGTCAGACTGCTTGTATTTGCTTTTGAGGAAAAGGTTTAACGTACCAAATTTGGAGAAACTCCAGATGATGTCGTTTAAACCGTACTTTGAAATTGACAGGGAGGTTGTGATTCATGTTCCAATCAAAGTCTCCAGTCAGCACCACCAGCTCCAGGGAAGTTCTGGGCGATGGGAGAGGTGAGGGGTCTCTTTGGCCAAGTGGAGAAGCTGATCACAATCTTGATGATTGTTTTCGCCTATTTCCTCAGCTGAAGCTGAGCGGGGTTTCAGTGTGTTAAAAAGGTTGGGAACAGTTATGTTTACTATAGTTTGGATATTGAATATACTGTTAGTGTATATTGACCTTTTAGCAGAACTTTTTTTATCAATTAATTTTGTTAGTCATTATTGTTATTGATTTGGTGCAGGCTACTGTTTTGTATTAGACTGAGATTTTATAACAGTTATCATGTTTCAGGTATCAACTAAGTGTTTCCTATATAGGGGTGGCTGGTAGTGTCCCTATCAATGCTAAGACCAAACCTACTCTTTTTTTCATGAACCATATGAAGTGTTTAGTAAAAAGTGACATGAAGCCTAAAACGCGGCACCAGTCACACAAAAGTCTTGTTTGGTGCTGGCTAATTATATGATTTTTAAACTGCATTTACAGCATCCTATCATGTGCCATTTATAAACTGAGAAGGAGAACATAGCCATTGTCTGAAGGTAATTCATGCAGAGGACAAATATGCACTTCACAAGAAGAGGCTGTTGCACCTCCTCTTAGTTTTCAAACACATTAATGAATCATGTTGGCTGGGAGGTGCTAGGAGCAGCTTGAGAGCGAGAGGGAAGGGGAGAGACTAAAGCGGGATGACAAAATACGCACTATGTGTGTATGTGCGTGTGCATGTGTGTGAGTGAGTGAGTCAGCGAGAGAGAGAAAGGTGTCCAGAGCCTCACATACCAGCACCATTAGACACCTGTCAGTGCAGGTGGAGGGAGTAACTGCTGGATATCGGAGCACGGGTGTTTCACTGCAGGACTCCTCTTCAACTCTTTTGACAATTCAAATAGGATATTGTACATACGTGGGGTTTTTTGTTTGTGTTTTGGACATAACGTTAATCTGAAGTCTTGCTGTTGCCATCAGTGGCAATTTAGTCGTGGTTTCTAAATCCCAACGTTTAGGTATTTTTTTGGAGGAGTCACCTGGTCATCGCAGACGCTCATCTGGGACTGAATCCCATCTATAAGGAGTTCGTTGGTGGCGTTGAGCTGCGTGATCATGGCGGACTTCCCATCCAAGGTTACCACGGAAACCAGCTCCCCCAACTCCCGGAGCTCTCAGCCGGGGGGCAGCAGCCTCCGGGCGCTGGCCGCCGGCCCTCGCCACCCCGCTGCATTCGTCCTTCATCCGAAGCATCCGGGCCGTCCTCATGATGGCTGAAATAGTATGTAACAGGCGCCACAAACTTTAAACTACTGGGTTTAATCAAAGTACAAGCCTGTTGATGTTCTTTGTTTTCTTGTTAAGCAATTCTTAACCAATGCTCTCTAACTCAAAAGAAACAATTAGATGAAATTCTTTCAGAATCTTTAAATAATTTCCTCAAAAGGTCGGCACTTTCAAGCAAATCTTTCTGTGTGTGTGTGAGAGTGTGTGTGGCTAATTGATGTGTTTGTATTGGTTTTTAGGTGATAATAAGGCTGTATGAATATATACTTTGGGTTTACAAGCAATGCGTCAAATGGCTTAAGGTATTGGTCCTTGTTGATTTTAAAGAATATGTACAGGGAATCAGAAGACTCCTTCAACTGGCATTTTATTTTTATAGGTGTATATAAGTTGAATTTCAACGTCAGCCAACTAAACTCTACCAGTGTGTTTTTTTGCTCTCGTATAACGGCAGTACCAATGTGTTGGCAGACCAATGTGTGCATATGGTGGAGGATCTACAATATTTGTATATAGCTTTTTTTGGGTGTCACAGGAATTTGAATGTGTGCCAACAAGCTGCAGTTGGTGAATCATAAATATCCTTGTGTGTCTACGAGCAGTTTAGACGCGTGACTGGGATCGTCAAAGCCTCTGCTGTTTCGCTCGGGGGCGAGCACACACGGTCACGTCTGCATAGGGGCATAACAATTGATTAGGCATTTGCCAGATTGGGCGGGACTGTTGTTGTGTTGTTGTTGTTGTTGTTGTTGTTGTTGCATTTGCTCTAAAGCAGGGTTTGAAGATTGAATGGAGCCCAGAGGCGAACAGGAAAATGGTAATGAGCTTTAGCTCTTTAACTAATTTTCCTTCTCCGGCGGTATGTTTGCACTGAACTGAGGACATATGACAGGAGATCTTTGTCGCCTGAAGGCCGGTCCCTCCTGTTACACCCTTTCTTTAGCTGCAAATGATCATTTTGGCAATGATGCAAGTCTTTCATTGGCTTTTGATGCCATTGTAGAAGCAGGTCCTGCGTTTAGCAGTAGAAAACGGGTGTAATAACACTGGTTAAGTGTTGCATGGCAACCGTCAGTGGAATTTCAACATTTCTCACCCAAATGACTCGTAAAAGGGACGTTGTTTCCAGCCCAACTAGTGAAAATCAACACCGTTTTGGTGTGTGATGTATTGCCAAAATGCCAAAGAAGGAGTGAAGTAAGAAGAGTATTTCCAAAGGTTTCTTTTCACCTGTTTCTTGTTAGACACACAGCCTCCTCAAGCTAACCATGAACAGGTAAACTAGATGAGGATGAAACCAATCCCATAATTATATGATTATTAGACGCATGTGTGAGAGTGGCATGGTGATTTTCCATTTCCTTTCCCACGATTAGGCAAGAAAAAAGACGTAGAAGTATCAGAAAAAACAACTCTTTTTATCCGCAGCGTGTGAATTTATAGAGGAGCCGGCTCCCTTTATCAAACTTCCACCTCTTCAATATTGATGGAGTTATATGCCTAATGCACTAAGTGGTATAAAATCCATCTGCATGATAAATATATACTGAATTAGCTCAGCATTTAATTGACTTTTAAACGCACAATGAAAAGATGAAGACACAATTACACACATTTTAGCTTCATATTGAAAGAGCTATGTTAAATAATTAACATTCAGTGTTAAGTAGTGCAATACGTGGGACACACACTTTAATTTAATGTTGTTAAGTTGTGTTTTAACGGCCGGGCTGTGTGGTGATACTGATCATGTAATAGATACGCTGGTGATAAATTGGCAGTTTCAGTCTGGACGTCGGGACAGATCGCTTTGTAAGGTCAACACCACAATGTGCGTATGTGTGTATCAGGTATGTAAAAAGGGAAACTTGATCTCTGCATACATAATAGACTCGTTCTTTCTCGTGGGACAGAAGGACACAGAGGCAAACAGCCCCGTGTGGTGTTTTGTCTGTTGGACGTCTCTGTTTGTAAACACGTGATGCATTTAACGTTTGGAATTCAGATATAATGTACTGTAAACTTAAAGGGCCGTGATCAACGATGCTGGCGTCATCAATCACACACTACACATCTCCATGAGACTTGGTCATCAGTTCAGCACCAATAAAAAATCAATAATCATGGTCACTGGTGAGTATATCTTATTCATTTCCATTTGCTGCCAGAAAAGAAACATTGCAAACAACAGTTAGTTTTTCTAATATTAGTAGACAGCGACAAAAGCTTTTCCCATGACATTGGAGGGGTTCTTTCCACCATTAGGGCAGCAAACCTAGCAGCAGAAAGCTCCTTCTGACACAGTTAGTGCTTCTATTCCAAAGGCCTCTCCGTTACTCTGTGACTCTTATACCCATCGGAACGCAGCAGATAGTCTTTTCCATTACTCAAGGTGATGTTGCGCATGTGAAGTTAATGCAATACCGGTCCGGTGGTTACTTTTGTGCAACCGGCATCAGTAATGTGTAAAGTGAAACAACAAACCACCTCGTGCTTGTGTGCACAGATCAAGTGCAGACAAATGATTCTGCACTGTGTTGGATTGTGACACTTTGAAACAATAAAAACTGTTTACAACGAGTAACTTTCCACCAACCGTCTGATGCACGTTGCACAAAATGTACCACGGCTCTGCGTTGCGTGAACTCCCAAGTGTGTAACATTATTCCATAAGCGAGCGCAGCAGGAACGGATACCTGCGGCCCTTCAGTTGGCCGTAAAGAGGCCTCGAGTACATTTACTGTCATGGACTCTGAACTGGCCTCCAGCAATCCCGCCGACATTTACTGCTGTTACTGTTCACCTATTCATGCGTTTTGCGCTGCATGGGACAATACGGCGTACAAAAAAAAGCCCACTCCTCCTCCTTCCTTTGTTGCCGATCCAGACGTATTACAGACAAACATATCCTGAACGTCTTTAACGTTGGCACATTTTGGTCGCTCGTCGCACTTCGAAGCCTCTCTCTCTCAGTTGTTCTGCCTTATTTGCTTTTTCCTCACCTTTACAGATTCCTGGGGCTCATCCAGTGTTCGCTGATAGCCAGCACGCCCTACACGCTGTTGGCAGCGTTCGGCTGGGTGATGTTTGTGGCCGTCACCCTGTGGATCCTCACCACCATCCTCTTCCTCTTGATCCTGTTTGGCGCCCAGCAAAAGCTGACCTTCGTCCCCTGGGCCCATGACGGGATGTGGGCAGAATTATAGCCTAGGAGAGTGTTATTCCAAGGAGGGCCTAAACTAAACAGTCTGCCTCATGACATGAAACGGTCATGGCTGAATAATGAACAATCGACATCTATGACAAATATTGTTAAAGAGTAAAAACAAAAGACGCTTTCCCTACTTCAGAACGGTGAGAAGAGCTCCTGTAGAATCATCAGTCAGATATTAGTCCTTTGCACATGCAGACTGACCGATAAGGAGCTCTCCTCTGCTGTCTCCTTGGTCCTGAAATTAGGACGTTTAGTCATGAAATCCATCTGATCCAAACCATTCAAAAACAAGACGGAGGTGGATTGATTTAGACAGAGGCAAACCTGCCAAGGACAATTGGAGGTTTGATCAGAGAAAGGAAACGCCAGCAGAATTGGCCAGAGCAGTGGAATAGGAGGAAGCTGTCCGGGGAAAAAGACAGCAAACTGTTTGGCGACAACCAGGGAAAGGACGCTTTCAGTAGAAGTGCGGCTCATGTTTTCTCCACTTTTGCCAGGTGATGGTGTATCACAGCGCAGGCCACGGTCCTCTATCTGAGCGCCCTTCCTGGCCAACGCGGCGTCCGTGCAGCCTGGCGCTTCACCTATTTCTACAATCATATGCCAGCTGCCGCGGTAAGATGCTCAACACCACCAACGCTGACTCTCACACAAAGACCTGATTGAATATGCAAGGGGACACGCCTCCAAGATGGGACGGGGCTTTCTTATTGCTCACGAGACTGCAGCATGTTGCGTGATTAAACACGCTTTTACGGCCAAACTTTGTACCAGAGCTGCCGCTGGCTCCTCCCCTCTGCAGTCAATGTTTAATCATCATATGGAGGTGTATGTGTGTGTGTGTGCGTGTGCGTGATTACCCGTGTCAGGAAGAGTTTGGATATCCTTCATCTTGTGTTACGTTTCTGCACCGACCCCCTTTTAGGTTTAAATGTGTAAAAGAACCATTCTGTTTATTGAATCAATGCTTTTTTACTTTGTCAGGAATCTATATTTTGACAAAACAAAACAAAAATTATAAAATGCGCTGGTTCAAAACGATGACCTTTGTGTTTTTAGGGTCGGTTTCGACCCAGTTAAATGAATTAGTGCACTTATGATTTTAGTGGCTTTGTCAAACAACACAGTGACAGCCAGCTCCTTCAGGGGATCCTCATTTTGCCTTGTTGTCCAGTATACCGGCACAAAAACAAACAGAACGAAGACGACCACGTGAGGTCAATTCAGTATAGTGGTGCTGACTTGTCACCAACTAACAAAAAAACAGAACAGAAGCCAACGCAGAGGAAGGACAAGCTGCTCTATAGTATTTCCCAAAGTCATGCTGGTTTACAGCCACGGCAGTAGGCAGTAGTACCAGGCATGTTTGCAGATAAGAAAACTTAGTTCGCTTTCCTAAATCTTCGGCTGTTGAAGATTTGAGAGACCGCTTCCTTAAGTCTTTTAAAAGGTATAATTGATGTCTTCTCCCATTCAAATTTCCCTGAAGTGTCTCCCTTGTCTTTGTCTGGCTCTTTTTCCCATGTGTTCAGTTCTTTGGTGCTGTGGTGACCATCGCCTACGGTGCAAGTGCTTTCTTCTCCTATCTGGACTGGAAGGGAGACGGAGGGAACGCTGCCAACACCACAGTGCCGACCTAGGACTCGCACTTGGGCCGCTGATCTCCTCCATTTTCCTTCCCTCAAGATGCTGTAGTTTTAATTTGGATATTCCCGCATTGATTTGTATTACTGCTGACTGTGGTAACCCGATTTGTGACCTTTTCTCACCCCAGTATAACAATAGCATTAAACCTTAGACTCCTTATGAATGTGCAACTACCCCTTTAAGGTTCCAAAGAATATAGAAGCGTGGATTGCAGAGTACATTCAGCTGTTTGTTCAAACTCTGAATGATACAATTTAACACAGTAAAATACACTGTACACATATTTATACAATGGCGTCCGTTATGATGACCTAAAAAAGCTTCAAGCGTGTCCTAGGTCAGTCATCGGTGGAAGGATAAGCAGTGTAAAACTTATTAAACACCCTGGTTAGAAGAATTTGACAGCCTGTCCAAACTTTGGTTTGTAAACATTTCCTCACGTTTGTGAGATTTTATCAAGGAGAAACATGAAGATCTGTAATCATTGGAGCTGCTGGTTTAGCATTTCAGCGGCCGTTGTTGCAGTGGTTTGGCCGGCTGAGTACCACAATGTCATAAAATGCTCGACTCCCACCTGGGCGTTCTGTGATGTTCATTTTGGGAAGTTGCTTTGATGTCCTATCGAGGCTGTGCAGACGGTATGTAGAATAGATGGACTAAGACAAAGTACTGATCACAGATAGAAAGACACAGGACATTCGTCTTTCCTTGATTTTATATGTTACACAAAAAGTACTTTTGTTCATGTGCCTTTATGAAATGTGTCTTTTTGTACCAACACTTGGATGAAACCTTGTAAATCATGTGTTCACTGTTGGAGCTCAAGTCTGCACTTGTTTAAATAAAGCACTCCGTAATATCAATGTGAGGCTCATGCCTATTTATTTAAAATATCTACTAACAAATGTATTTGTATTGCAACAGTGACAAGAGTGTGTGTTTACAATTACTGCTGTCATGTAAAACAAGTAGAAAATTCTTACCATTATACAGAAAACTATACTTTTTATTTTAAACTGCAGGCACACATCACGCAATCCCTTAATACATTCAAAATCACTTTCGCTTTCACAGGCACAAAACTCTATTCAATGAGTTTTCAAACTGACAAATACTTTAAAACAGATCAGTTTTGCCATATTATTTTCTTATGACAAACAAATACCAGGAAAAGGGAGCAGATTGAAGCGTTCAATCATATGAAATGGTTTCCCCTGCTTACAAGGAGATGCGTTAACCAGTAGGATAAACATAACTACAACAATAAAGTCCCAGAACTGGGTTTCTTCTCCCCAACGAGGTGGGAGGATCTAATAATAATAACCCTTATTAAAAACGCAAAATGTAAATAATATGGTTTGTAATCTAAGAATGTCACCTGTCACCTGCAAATTCCAGTTTAAAAAATGTTCAAGTAGTCGTGTCCAGGGCAGCCAAAACATTCACTCTTCACACAGACGCCATCCCAGTTAACAACATAAAACACAGAGAACTCTCGGGATTTTTAGTTATGTGGAACGTATCCGCTCACCAATAGAGCACAAAACTACCGAAACCGTGACGACCAGCTAACCATAACTTCACGGAGGAACAACGTGTTACTAAACACAAAGAGAAGGAGGCAATTTAAATGTCCGGGAGCAGCGGCTCAGCGAGGCCGCTGTGTTTAGAACAGAGTGGATCAGTGACATCACCACCAGTCCTTGACTCAGGTCCAGACCTCGACCCTCCTTCTCCTAGAAACACACAAGTTCACGAAGTTGGTATCGAAGGAAACCATTATAAACAGGAGTTTTCCACCAATTAAACCTGCAAAATAAGTCACGCTTCCAATGCGCTTGGAGAGAACGCGGCAATTCAATGTCGTAACCATGGTTTAGACATTGGGGGGGTCCAAATGAATAGCATTCCCCATATTATTTTTTTTGTTAAGTGCATGGCCCACAATTCTATATTTATATATGAAAATTCGCACATTTAAAACATAGTTTTGAGGACTACATTGATCATTTAAATTCACATCTAAAGGAATAGTGTAATTTCTCTGTGACAGTGACTTCCCCTCCACTTTGTTTTGGTGAGTTGCTTACTATTTACTGACCTTAAACACACCTACCAATTACATGTATGCTTTTCCAGTAGTACTGTAGCAAATAGTATAGCTTACAAGCACCAACAAAACTAAAAGGGAAATAACAAAGGCAATTTTGCCAGATACAAAATAATCCTTGACAAATCAGGAATCAGGAAACATTTATTAGCCAAATATGTCAAACATACAAGGAATTTGTCTTGCGGTTAGTGCGCGACAGTAGGACAGACAAGACAACAGTGCACAAGTAATACAATAAAGTGGAATGAAATGCTAATGCAATGGGTTAGTAGAATAAGGCTATGGCTATGGGTTAGTATAAAACAAGGGAATAAGTTTAAAAAAAATTGCAAAAAAGTGCACTAACGAACAAGTAACAGACAAGAGACAAGTGACAAGTGACGACAAAGTGATGAATTGCAGTTAAAGTGGCATGTGCAGGATGAAGGGGACTGACCGGTGGAATGTTATAGTCAGTCCAGTGGGGGACCGGGCCTCTGTTGATGAGCCCGACTGCCGACGGGAAAGAACTGTTCGTGTGGCGGGAGGTCTTAGTCCTGATGGACCTTAGCCTCCTCCCAGATGGAAGGGGCACAAACAGTTTTGTCCGGGTTGGGAGGGGTCGGCCTTCTTTTTAGCTCGCTTCAGAGACCTGGAAGCGAAAAAGTCCTGCAGGGACGGCAGAATGCAGCCAATCACCCTCTCTGCAGAGCGGATGACCCGCTGAGCCTGCCCTTGTCCTTGGCTGTGGCTGCAGCGTACCAGACGGTGATGGAGGAGCAGAGGATGGTGGACTCGATGATGGCCGTGTAGAAGTGGACCATCATCGCTTTGGCAGGTTGAATTCTTCAGCTGCCTCAGGAAGAACAACCTCTGCTGAGCCTTCTTTGTGATGGAGCTGATGTTCAGCTCCCACTTGAGGTCCTGGGTGATGATGGAGCCCAAGGAAACGGAAGGAATCCACAATAGTGGACGGGGGAGTCACACAGGGTGATGGGGGAGGGTGGGGCTCAGCATACATGCATAACAGCATAGCAGGCAACAGTCATTATATGAGATTAATTTACATGAAATACAATGAAATACAATTACAATGAATCACATACCTCGCTCCGCATATCAAAGGGTGCTATAAAGTGGTAATCCAGGAAGTCCGCCGCCATTAGCTTAATTTATTAAATGCTAGCTAGTTTCTTGTGTCTTCTATTGAACAAATGTGAGCGTGAGCATGAGCGCGAGCGATTAATCACGTGAGCAGATAGTATGATGTCTAATAAAAGTCACATAAAATCTAAGTAGGAAAACAGGATCATTCAAAATGAAAGAACACTGCTAGTGGTCATTTACACTCCCACCAATCATGTTGTGAAGAGTGAAGACAAGGGTCAACCTGGCTGAACGCATCATACTTGAGTCCTGTCTGTATCAGTGTTTCTAGATTTGTGTAGGTGAGTTATACTTAATATCTAAGAGAGAATAGACTATGTCATAAGGGAATAAAAGGTGTAGACAACTAGACTGATTACTCACTCTCGGGGAGGAGAACTAGTTTCTGGATGGGCCTTTCTATGATCAAAGGTTGTGGTAGGGAGATCTTGTTTTGCTGATGTTCTTTCTCCTACTAACACCTTGACGCGACACACTAGACCATCGCTCCCCTTTGTGGTGTTCAACCACTCGTGTTTGGTGTCACATTGTTTCAGTGCCTCTTTGAACTCATTTCTAGCTCCACAAAATTGGTTCCTTGATCGCAATGGATTTGACGAACGGCTCCTCTGAGACTGATGAAGCATCTTAAGGCGTTGCTAAATGCTGTGGATAAGTCCTCAAGCATCTCAATGTGAACAGATCAAGAGGCAAGGCAAGTGAAGATTAAGCTATAGTGCTTTGCTCTTTGCAGGCTTTCTTAGTGATGAATGGGCCGAAGCAATCGATGCCACAGTATGTGAAGGGAGCAGAGACTTCCACACGTTCCTTAGGACTCTGCCATGCGTTGTTCTTCTACAGGCCGTCTGAGTCTTCTGCACTTCACACATCTGTGTATCAGCTTAGCAACTGAATTACTTCCCCCAATGATTCCCAATTTTTCCCATTGGCTCGTTCTGTTAGTTTGATTACGTCCTTGGTGACATCCTCTCGTGGCAGTGGGTCAAAATCAACTTGTTAATGTCCTCCTTTGGGTAGAATCAAAGGGTGTTTGACTTCTAGTCTTAGGATGACTGATCCAGTCTTCCACCAACACGAAGTGCTCCTCCTTCTAAGATGGGATTCAAGCGAACAGAGGGCTGGAGTTTTGAAGACGTTTTCCCTTTTGAAGTATCTCCATCTCTTGGAGAATGCTTCTTCTTGAACAAGCTTCACTACTGATTTGGCAGCTGTTTCGCGTTCTTCTACACTCACAGGTTTGCAGGATGATTTTGCCTTGAGTTCAGCCTCTTGATTCTTGCAATGACTTCAGGAGTTCTGACCAGGAGGATATAATCGATTTAGGACGGGTAAGAAAGTCTGACTCGGAAGGTTCAACCTTAGTTGTGAACGCCTGCATTGACCTGACCTCAGGATCACCGACAAGCAACTCAGGAGTGAGGCGAGACTCGCTGGAGACTGGATGTATTTCTTGTTCCCACAGGAACTTGGGTCCTGATAGCCAGTTTGTTGAGGAGATGTCCACTGCGTTTAGACCTCTCGACGCATGGTCAGCAGGGTTTTCTGTTGTGTCTATGTAGTGCCATTGGCTGGGGCTGGTGTGCTCTCTGATCATTTGCACACGATTGGCAACGAAGACATGGAACCTTCTTGCTTCATTACCAATATAAACCAGGACAGTTTGGGAGTCAGTCCAGAATAATTCTGCATGGATCGGCATTTCAAGCTCGTTTCTCAGCATGACACTTGATATTGCAGCGACCACTGCTGCTGAAAGTTCCAATCTTGGAATGCTTGTGAGTTTTGTAGGCGCAACTCTTGCCTTTTCCATCACGAGGCTGCAGTGAACTTGACCATCTTCATTTTTGCTTCTCAGATAGGAACACGAGCCATATCCTATATTGCTGGCATCGGAGAAGTGGTGCAGTTCCCTTGTGACAGTTTTGCAGAAGCCTTGTGGTTGGTAGCATCTCGGTATTGAGACTTCCTTCAGCCTTTGTAGGTCGCTCTTCCAACTCTCCCACCGTGGACTTAAGTCTTCGGGAAGTGGGTCATCCCAGTTAATGCCTCGACGACACAGCTCCTGGAGGATGCACTTTCCAGTTAAGATAAACGGAGCCACGAATCTGACTGGATCGTACAAAGAAGCAATGACGGATAGGATTCCGCGACGTGTGGATGGCCTGGGTTGTGGTTTACATTAAAGCTGAAGGTGTCGTGTTCAAGGGACCACTGGACACCAAGAGCACGTTCTGCTGGAGCTGCATTTAGGTCCAGATTTTAGGGTTCAGATGTGACTGCTCTCTCAGTTGGATCCACAGAGTCCAGGACGGATCTTTCGTTTGAGTTGAACTTGTGTAGACGCAAACCTCCTCCCTTGCACAACTCTTGTGCTCAGCAATCAACTCCTTTGCTTCTTCTACGGAGGGGACGCTGATAAGCCCATCATCGACGTAGAAGTTCTTTTCAACAAAGGCTGATGCTGATGGATACTCTTCCTTGTGTTGACGTGCCAAGTACTTCAGGCCAAAGTTGTCACATCCGGGTGACAAAGCGGCACCGAATAGGTGGACAGCCATTTGATAATCTTGAGTTCCGTAGTTCCGTAATTCAGGAGAAACGTAAACTGATGGAACATTCTCGATGTCGCATATGATGGCTACCACCTCTTTCCTGAAACGACAGGGACTCCAAGGAGAGAGTTGACCAGGTCAGGACCTGTTAGCAATGTATCCTTTAGTGAGACACCACGGAACTTCGCTGAACAGTCAAAGACTACCTTTAGCTTCTCTGGCTTCTTGGGGTGGAACCCCCATGGTGTTTATGTAGCACGTAGTCTGCTGTTCTGTCGCAGGAGAGGATGGCTCTGCGTCGCCTTTCTTTATCATATCCTTCATTAAGGCTTTGTACTGTTCTTTATACCGCTCATTATTTTCAATCTTTTCTTTGGGTGCTGCAGTCGAACTGTTGCCAGCTTCTTGTTGTCTGGTAGCAGAGGTGGCTCTGTGCTCTTGAAAGGAAGGGGCATTTCATAGTGTCCATCTTTCCTTTGAGTTATGTTGTCACTCAGGAGCTGAATGAAGCGAACGTCGTCTTGTGACACATACTTGTCTTTATCTGCATACTTCCTTTCATTGAAGTCTGATTCCAAGACCTTCAGCACGTCATTGGTTGATGCCGCTGGTATTTCCTTCACTGTCACTCGATGGACAAACCTCTGGTTTCCCTGGCGATCCAGATGTGGATTGGATGAGCCTACAATGCTCCAGCCGAGTTCCCGTTCTCTGGCGAATGGATCATTTTCGCCTCCTATGACGACTTCCTGGGGGCTAGCGCCAACGGGCAATCATTTCCAATTAACAGTCCCACCTCACAGTCCTTCAGCAGTGGAAGTTTGTTTGCTAGATGCTTTAGATGAGGCCAGAGCAGCGCTGTTTCAGAAGTCGGAATGTAGGACTTGTCGACCGGGATGAAACCACAAGTATAGGCCTGCCGCAGCTGAATCTGTTTTCCAGACTGTAGTCCTCGAACTTGTAGACAGCAGACACTTTTGCTTGCTATGGGTGTGTCAACAGCTGTCATGGTGCTCAGTTTAAGCTGTACTGTTTTGTCTCCATGTTCAGCTCTTCGAGTAGGTCTTCCAAGACAAATGTCGAATCACTCTGCGTGTCTAGAAGAGCATACGTTATAACTTCTTTCTGTGGTTCATTTGCAGATGACATGAAAACAGGGACGATGCTTGATGTGGCAAAGACGCGCTGCGTCACTGGATGGGACGTCACTTTGATCTCTTCCTGACTAACGTCTTTATCTGTGGAAGTGGACTGTTTCTCTTTTGCTTCCACAGATCTCTCTTCATGTAGACAGGTGGGGTGACTTCTGCTGCATATGACACAAGTGTGTTGCGTTTTGCAATCCTTACTGTTATGTCCCTTTCTCAACATCCGTAGCACAAATTGTTTTCCCGTATGAAGGCTTTCTTATCTTCCAGAGATTTTGCTGCAATGTAGGGCACTTTACGACGCCGTGCATCTCATCTTTGCAGATAGGACAAGGTGGCTTCGACTTGGTGCTGAACACTTTCTCAACATTTCTGTGGGATGTTCCTTTTAGTGTTTGTGTGAAGTGCTCTAGCTCTCTTGGGCTGCCTGTCATCTGTGGCCTTGATCAGAAGTGGAGAGGTGACAGGGTTACATGCTATCCAAGCCTCCTTCTAGATGAACCTTGTGAACAGGAAAAGCTTGGGTAATCCCCGGATTCGTCCAACCTTTCCGTGACGACTCTGCTCCATCTTCGTGTGATCCAGTCAGGTCATTTCTTCAGCAGTTTGTGGTTCTCTTCCCAGTCGTCCAGATGGCCAATCCTTTCACATGAGGCATCACTTCAACACATCCTTGCAGGAAGTCAGCAAACTCTCGAAGTGCAGCAGGACCACTGGTACCAACCGTGGGCCACTTCATGAGCTTGTCTCTAAAAGCCTTTTGCACAATGAAGTGGTTTCCGTACCTTTCCTCCAGGACCTTTAAGGCCCCATGATATGCTTCTTCTGAGTTTCTATAGAAGAATCCTCTACAGCTTTACGTGCTTCTCCACTCAGATAGTTTTTTAAGTAAAACTTTTTTCATGAGCGGGGAGAGGCTGGTGGTCTATGAGGGCCATGAAGGACATCTTCCAGTCTACATACTTTAGGGCTTCGCCAGAGAACTTTGGTGGCTCAGGAGCAGGCAGGCGATTCATATTGAGTGAGTTAATGAGTGCTGAGTAAGGCTATTTCTCATGAGATGCTAGCGCTTTGGCGTGCGCTTGGGGAGGCTGGTATGCGTTGGCCATTGGATTAAGCTGGCTTTTGGATTCAACTGTGAGATCGGTCTCTTTTAGACAGTCTCTGAAGTCATGTTCAAAGCTCTCGTATGCGTTTACTCTCGCCTCTGCTATTCTACTTCTGACTCTGCTTGAATTTTGCTGCAGTCTTTTCTTTTTCCTGACGCATATTTGCCTATATCCTTTGAGAGCAACTTGCCTTTCTTCTTCTAACCTTTTTAAGAACTAGCTGCTTCTCTTCTTCTAACTTGCTAAGAACTTCTTGAGCTTGTATTTGATATACTGCTTTAGCCTTTTCTTGTTGCGCTGCGAGTTCTGCTCCTGCATCTAGATGTTTGCTTGAGCCCTATGAGTGGATAGAATTGTCTGCCAGAGAGAGTACAGTATCTGTCTTTGTGTGTCCGAAGATAGATCCATACTCATCCTTCCTAAGTGCCATCCTCACTCGTAGTTTCACAAGTTCTGGATTAAAGACCTCATCTACTAGTTTCAAGCCGCTTCTCTATTATTTCGCTGCTCTCTGCAGTGAGTGCTATACAAGCATCCATTTTTGGTACAATGTCTGGGGTGGCATCATGGTTGCGTTGAATGGGCTCATAACATTCACTTACTGCACTGTGTCGACTTTGATATCTTCTCTGATGTATTTAGTTCATCTTGAAGAGAATGATTTTAGTGCAGTCCTAATCTCTCCTGCAAATTCTTTCCAGCGGCCATAAGCTTTCATGAATTCTTTATTGTGTTTAATAGCTTCCTGTTTGTGCATCTCTAATCCCCTTTCTGTAA